TCATTGAAACGATGGGTATCCGGTCTGAGCCTCAGTGGGAACACCATAACTCCCTGGGAGGTGCAGGCACATCCAGCTGAAATATCCAAAATAAGAAGATGTGGGCATCCTGGATTCCATACCTAGTCAGCATTATTCACCAAAATACTTCTAGTTAGACATTGTCGACCCTGAAGGAAGGACATCCTGCCTAATCATTTTTTATTCTCTTACGTTCCCAGTGGAACACAGAGCTTTAAGCTAGAGCTTTGAAATTTTAGTAGCAATGGTTTTTATTTCTACAGGATGTGGTTGTTAGCCTCATGCCCAACCTCCCCTCTGTACCAGTCTTTGTTACTGGCTTAGCGAGGTAAAACAGTGCGTCGGCCGGGGTTCGATACCCGTCAACATGCATGGTTGGAGAGCATTCTACCGCTGTGCTTCTGACGCGCCGTGCCTAATCATGATATTCGGCAAATAAAAAATTTATTTCAACCACTGACTTTTAATTATAATTGAAGCAAACTGGTGGATAATTAGAAATTTATTATCTCTTGTCGATTAAATGGGTGACTTGAGCCCAAATCTTGAAGATGTAGACATATACTACTTGTTGATATAAGTAGTTGGATTAATTTATATCAAATAGCTGTTGCTGACCAGATAGAAGTGATCTAAAAATATGCCATTTTTCTGCTATTCGATTGAACTCATCAGTTGTTTGTCACGTTTATCTCATTTCAGATAGCTGAGTCACACCAAACCATCCAAATTCGGGTTAGCTACTTGGGCAAACTAGTAATACACATAATCAAAGTTGTCATTCGTGAATTATACACTTTGAAGTAAGAAACCATCACATATTTGTTTCATCCTTAAACGGATGAAACGATAGATCACTTCCATCTGATTAATAAGTACCACTGTTTAGGGTTATTGGCTTCCAACTTTTGACTATCTATCTGACATCAGTTTCTAATGGAATCTATCTTGTAATCTCTTAAAACACCCAAAAAATACCTAACATCTGAAATTCAGTCAACTGTTAATTATTGACCGAGTTTCAGATGAATCTTTTTAAAGTTGTAATGAGAAATTGTGAACAATGTTGGTCCATCTCTCTAAAGATGTAAGTAACCATTCACATGTCACAGTGATTGGTAGTGACACCATATTATAAATTGGGACAAGTTGTATTTGAGTCTAACAACTAACTGGTTATGGACTTGCTTCACCAACCCCTTCAGTTCTTTGTTTGATACTTCGTTGGATCGTTAGTAAGCAATACTGAACAGTCCTAATCTATGACAATGTAGCTGTTCACCAGTGCTTGGTTCTTAATAGCCACTCAAATTTTTCTCTTTAAAATTTTTCAGTAGAATACTGTAGTATTTTTGTAACAACAGAAGACAAGGACCAGGCAACAGATCGTTTATTAAGGAAATCAACACATATTTATAGATTTTCATGTACATTATGATAGACTATTGTTAGCAGAAAAACATAGTCTTCTGATTGGTTGTTTCTCACAGGAAGTTAACCTTGCATTTCTTTGTAGTTGTTTCTTAAGTGTCAGATCATCTATATGTTAACTGTATCCGCCAACTCAAAGCCTTCGTTCTCATTTTTCTCACGACCAATATTGGGGACATAAACATTGACGTAAATTACTGTCCACCAATTTTGACCAGCTCTTACCACACTTTTAGTTTTACTCAGTATTAAACCTACGAGAGTACCACCGTTCTTTCTAATATTTGCTGGATGTTCCTTCAGTCAAATCCATTGGTTTACCTATTCGCAGATATGTTAAGACCTGTATGAGACTTTCTATAAGGCTAGGAAAAATGGAATGTATTCCATCAGTGGTAAAATAAACTTTGAGTTCTTAAAATTAATTTTTTTAATTAAAACCAACAGTGACCCATTTGTTAGATGAAATACACAACTTTCAAGAATTAGTTTATGAGGATTCTATTTGTTTCAGGTTAGACAACGGATTGATATGAGTATGAGAAACATTAAACACCAGGGAGTACTGGACAGCTATTTTATCCTAGTTTGGGACCCAATGGGGTCCATCCAGTCAGGAGTGAATATGGAGTCCCTGCCGATGACAATGGTTGGTGGTCGAGCGAAAATCAAGAATCTGTAGAAGCTGGAATTCACTCACTGGGCATTGGATTGGTCTTAGTGGTTGAGTGGTATACGACCTTGCCTTGTATCAGGAAGGTCCTTGGTCCAAACCTTATTGGTGGGTACGTAATGCCGATGATTCCAAACCAGGATGATACAGCTGTCCAGTACTTTCTGGTTTTCAAACTGATATCAATCCGTAAAATTCATTTTCTAGTATAATAAACAGGAAGTTTTTCAACTAAGTGATTAACTGTTTTATGAATATCCTTTGATATTTTTCATAATTAAACTGTAAACAATTCAGAGAAGTTTGAAATGTCACTTATCAAAGAACAGTATGTTGTTGATACTGTATTTAGGCGAATAAATAAAACTTGGAACATAATAGGTATTCTAGTATCTTGAGACACCAAACCAAAAATAATAGGACGAATGAAAACCAACACTATATCAGCCAGGATTCAAACCACGGGATTAGCTTGACGGTCCACCTGGGTCTGGTAGTGAGGTAGTTCAGCAAAGGGCTGGTGATTGAGAGACTGTTCGTTGAAATACTATCACGATCTTGGTTTTCATTTCACCACTGACCGTTACACGGTTTATTTCATGTTTTGTTTCAATAAGTCAAGAAGATGTAATTTTGAAGACTTTAGTTATTTTTTTGAATAGTGTATCAATACATCATATATCTTTAATGCATACCACTCTAAATACTTTAGTCAACACACTCTGAGATGTCTACAGGGATCATAATTGAGACAAACTTGTGCTATGAAAACATATTTCTACATTTCTAACCCCTAATTGCACAATGTCAATCTTCTTAGTTATTATGATGCTGCTTTGTTTGTTTTATCCGTCCCCCTGTTTATTATGGCATTCTAATTCCTAATTGTAATTTTATTGATTTGACCCTTAACCGGAAATTATTCTGTAACTTTCCCATCCATCTGATATAAATACATGAATGTACAGCCTAGATGATGACTTCGTCGAAAAGGAAATTTTCTTCGCTGCAATTGTATTCATGAATACTTTCGGCTTTGAATCTCATAGGTGACATGAGTTCCTTGAAGACTGTCTAGAGCCAACAAGCATGAAACTGATATCCAAGGCTTCCTGAAAATTGTCTCCAACCACCTAATACTTCAGGCTTTTCTGAAGTCATCGGAGAGTAATCAACAGCACATTGTTTGATCCCTAATATCCACAGGAATCCACTAATCAAGTTAACATGGAAGTCATCAAGTTTACAGGTTATAAAATGGTATAAGATGGTTGTAAACAACTAGCACAGAGGCTTTGATCAACACCATAGATTATCCAAAACCTGAATAAAAACGATGTCTGCATAAATATTAAAAACTTCATTAAAATATACTGTGCTTAGGAATGTTTTAAAATCAGCTAATCAGCCCACTGTTGAACATGTAGGCCTAAGGAATTGACTTCTATTTTATTGTATTAATATTATTAACCACTTTTTTCGGTTCTGAGTGGAACATATGGCGTCAAAAAAGTAATATAATAATAATTTGCTTTATTCCATAAACAGTACTAGTGATAGTGTGGAATTTTCAGCACATATCTACAATACTGCATCTAATTTTATCAAACATTTAAAAGGAGTATTTCAAAAAATAAATATAAAAAACAACAACAAAAGCAAAAAAACACAGAAATAATAAAAAAAAATGCGAAAAAAATACCAAGAAGTAGAAGGGAAAAGAAACAACATAATAAATATTATCTCAGTATTGGGTAGTGGAAGCTATGATATGTGTATGCGTGGTGAACAGTGAAACTATAATCATACAAGAAGTATGAAATGATATTAAGAATGTTTATCGTCATGATGATCAGGTAATTTAATTGAACAACACTTAGCAATCATAAAATAAACATTTCAGGATTTTTTAAAATCAACTCTAATGCAGTGTTTGTAGTGGTAGTGTGAGTAATCCTGCATAATACAAAATTTTAAGATTGTGATAACGGCGTTCACAGTCAAGATTATCAGTTAATATTGCCGAACAAAAAACAATCACAAAACTAATATTACATGAAGGTTAATAACAGGACAATTTTGTAATACTTATAGTGATAATATAGTCAGGACCTGTAGATACACAAAAGAAGGAATAGAGTGAAGTACAAAAAAGGTAAGCCAATGTTAATAATTTAGGTAGCTAAGTATGTTTAAGAAGGTGTTTAGTATAGAATACAAATAAGAGAGAAATAAAAGAGCCAAAATTATGTTATTAACAACAAAGCAAGTCATAGGTTTCACGCTTAACATTGTCTCTATCACTTAGAACACGGGCCAAATATGGTATCGTTGAGTTCCTATACTTGGATGTACGTCCATATATTATTTTATACTGATATCTGGTTCTACCTGATGAGATACAAGGAGAGAGTTGGGAAAAGAGGGGGTGTTGGGGGTCGGACAGTATGGTTTTAGACCATTTTTTGCATGTTTTCAGATGCCTTTCTACTGATGTAGTGACAAGCTGACTGAGTTTTATACCACTAGTCCTACTAACTACCTTCAAAATCCTTCTCAGCATGGTATAGTCCTCTGTCAGTAGCCCAGGAAAGACTACATATCCGTACATCTACATATTGCATCTAATATTCTCCATTGTACTCAGATCTTTGTTATCATTCTCTCAATTGGCTCAACAACTTCCCACAAGTTTCCATTCCCTCCTCACCTCACCTCTTCTTCATGAGTCACCTTCAAATTCACATTCAACTTATCGCTTACTTTTTGAGTTCTACTCGATTACCTACCTAGTGTGTTATGACACTATTTTACATAACTAACTAACTAATAAACGAACAAATTGGTCAAATATATCTAAATTTTTTCATTACAGGCAATTGGTTTATTGAATAACTTTCGAAATTGTATACATGATCATACAATTCATAAAAATGTCAATGAACCTGCTGTAACAGAACCAAGTCCCCTAGAAAAATGGATATGGGAGAATGGGAAGAAAACTTTACAAAATTTTGATCCTAAATCAGATATTATCAGTTTTTCGTCTTCTATTCATCCAGGCTGTCCAACACTTGAACTTGATTTTACAAAAATTAATGAATTATCAGAAGTTGATAAATTATCACAAGTAAGAATTTTATAATTTCCTAGTAATAATAATAATAAAGGTTTTCCATCATTGTAATAGTTTCTCTTATGATTTTCTTTAGGCTATTTTGTATTTCCCGTTGAACTATTTAGTAATAATATTAATAATGGTAAAGCTTTATTTAGGAAAGTATGCGAATATACGGTACAAAAATTTCCGGGTTTTCAGATCCAAAGTACTTTTTCCTTCACACAGGATTCTCATGTAAAGTAATAATCTGAAGTATGTCTTCATTTCGTTGAAGAATTGTACAGCGTTTACTTGGGAGCAGGTTAAATCATCGCGCAAGTTTATGCATAGGTCATTTGATATAACTGGACGATTAAAACAATGATAAATCCAGATGAAATTAAGCATTTTGGAGGAAAGTAATTTCGGTAGCCCAGCGATTTAAGCAGGCCGCTATACCATTAAACCGAGACACCTGGTCTCCGTTGACGTGTTGTCTCTGAGAATAGGCGCTGTCACTATGGTTGAAAAATAACATGTTATTGTGTGATGGATGGAATCCAAGATTTCAATCTCTTTATCACATTTTGGACTCTTCAGCTAGAGGTACTGCAATATTCAGTGACTAATGTATGAGACTGAAATCCAAGCATCTATCCCTTCAAACTGAAATAAAAGTTCATCATCAGGCTCTACATTTATATATACACATTATAGTGAATGAATGAATTAGTGTTATGAACAACATTAATGTTATTGAATTGAATTTTCGATTTTCCCGTCGATTGATTGGACCGAAGTGCTCGGTCTCAGGTTGACATGTCGGCTTCTTGTGCAGATGCTTCGACGATGTCTGGGCATTTAATTAGTATACAATTGGTGGATGGTGGCTAGCAGTGGAATCCAGGATGCGCATTTCGTCCTATTTGGGACTCGTCATCTCTCGCTGACCATGCACATGGTCCGGGGTTCGAGCCCACGCCGGCGCACACCTCATATCTATGGTCGGCCTGCAAAATTTGGGCTACCGATATCCATGCCGAAAATTCCATACTTGTACCAAAAATACAGTCTGGAATCAAGCTGTAAATAAAAAAAAAATGTACCTGCATTTCTCAGTGAGTGATGACGTTCCCACTGGGGCTCGAACCCAGTGCCCATAGTTTCAAACGCCAAAGCGTTATCCACCAGACCACTTGGGCCACGAGAGCCACCTCTTGTGCAACGGGTCATATTAATTATTGAATTGAATTTTTGATTTTCCTGATTAACCTGAGACGGAGCACTTCAGTTCAATCAATCGACGGGAAAATCAAAGATTCAATTCAATAATTAATATGACCCGTTGCACAAGAGGTGGCTCTCGTGGCCCAAGTGGTCTGGTGGATAACGCTTTGGCGTTTGAAACTATGGGCACTGGGTTCGAGCCCCAGTGGGAACGTCATCACTCACTGAGAAATGCAGGTACATTTTTTTTTTATTTACAGCTTGATTCCAGACTGTATTTTTGGTACAAGTATGGAATTTTCGGTATGGATATCGGTAGCCCAAATTTTGCAGGCCGACCATAGATATGAGGTGTGCGCTGGCGTGGGCTCGAACCCCGGACCATGTGCATGGTCAGCGAGAGATGACGAGTCCCAAATAGGACGAAATGCGCATCCTGGATTCCACTGCTAGCCACCATCCACCAATTGTAAACATTAATGTTGTTTAAATAACATCGAATCAATAATAATATGAATAGATTACAGCTCAATAGCATCAACATAAAATAAACTGAATGTCAGAAAAATTAGGAAAGATAATATTACAAATTCATGAGTTTATAGTTTCTGCTGAAGGCTGGCCAGAACAGTAGTAGGGGATGGACTTGCTTCTTTTGAACACAGAGCATTGGTTCTTTGAGGTGAATCGCAATAGCCTCTGTTGTTCGGAGCATGGGGTGCTTCGATGATTTTGGCAATTTATTAGGCACCTGGCCTTGTGGCCGGTTTGTACCAGATGTTCCAATATCGAACTTTTAATGGTTTTCACTACACGTTTACTTAGCCATAGTAGGAGATGGTCTCGAGCACGAAAAATCGATATTAGACCATCTGATACAAACCAGCCACAAAGCTAGCCATCGTGGAAGAATCCTTGTCTATAATCTACCAGGTGCCTAATAAATTGCCAAAATCACCGAATCACCCCATGCTTCAAACAACAGAGGTTATTGCAATTCATCTCAAACAACCAGTGCTCTGTGTTCAAAAGAAGCAAGTCCATCCCCTACTACTGCTCTGGCCAGCCTTCAGCAGAAACTATAAACTCATGAATTTGTAATATTATCTTTCCTAATTTTTCTGACATTCATTTTTTTTATGTTGATGCTATTGAGCTGTAATCTATTCATATTATTATTGATTCGATGTTATTTAAACAACAATAATGTTGTTCATAACACCAATTCATTCATTCACTAAAGGGTGTATATATAACTGTAGAGCCTGATGAAGGGATTATCGATAAGAGTACTCTTTGTTCAGTATCCAGTCTTTTGAAAAATTTTAATGGGCATTTTTAATCAGTTTAAATATAAGTTAATGAATGGAAAGTACGAAGTTGGTTCAACAACTAACTATGGTTAATCGTTCTACAACAGATAAATCTCTTGACTAAGTAGCCTATTGTATAGTGCTTTCCAGTGTTATTGGAAACACTATCACTCACTGGACAATCAGATATACCCAGTTAATGAATCTCAGGGTGGAATGAAATGAATATCGTGCGTGGTTAGCACTGATAGCCATCATCAATCAAATAACCATATACTTCGCTTTTGAGTTTATGCATGAGTAGTAAGAAATAAACTGCGAAATATGCTACGTAGTTAATAATGCTAATCAACATATAAAACAAGATGAATAGAGTAATGAGTGAGTTCTGATTAGAATGCATATAGAAACAAAGGAAAATATGGAATTACCTAAGAGTTCTAAAATTACAAATGTTATAAGGAATTGAAAAAAAACAAGCACACACATCAAGTCAGTTAAAGTCAACATGGTTGTTACCACGATACTTTCTTTTGTATGCATAACTCGGGTTTCGCCAAATGAATGACTAAGGCTTCAGCAATACAAAGGAGACGAAGGCGTATTGCCTTTGCTACGTTGTTTTTCACTTTGTAGATCACTTTCTAGGTGGCGTTTGGTGAAACGGAATGACCAGGGTTGACGAGATGTTCGGTTATTGCACTCCTTATACAGCCACTATCACCTTTTTGTAGCCACGTGGGATAGTGTTTGTGAGTCCATTTAGATAGGATATGTGTCAAACGACCAATGAACCTGGCTCCACAGCAACAGGTGAAATGATATTTCCACGCAGATTTGGCCAGATGCAAGATCTTGTCATTAAGACTTCTGCAGATCGATGGATGACTGGAGAGCACTACTCTTAGCGTTGCTGTGAAGGTTCTTTTCAAAGATGCTTAAATTCTTCTCTTGAGGATATTACAAGCTAAGTCTCCCTTGAAATCCAGATTCACGTAAAGCATCTTTTTTGAAACAACGGATGTTTCGTTCTTCTGGACCTTTGGTGGGTATCAATTTTAGATGAAGGTTTCTTTCAGAAGATCCAGTTCTGCTTCCATGGCATCAGGACTGCACAACTGTATTGCGCTTATTCAACATCTTTATTTGTTGACTAACCTATACATTTCGAACAATCTGATCACACATTTACTTGTCAAGTCAATACATATAGAAAGGTTAAATTAAACTAAGTGAGAGAAAACGGAATTAAGAATAATTAACACAAACGTTTGGTAATCCAATTAAATAAGGATTACCAAGGTAGGCTAAGAGTAATGACAAACTGTTTTGAATACACAAGGGGGGCTTAAGTCTATGAATAGCCATAACCTCAGCGTATTTCAGTAAACGCCCTTGACCGTTTTTAGAGATGACCTTAAAGGCTGAGTTAACATCAATCTTATGGTTCATCTCGATTAGATGTTTAGCTATAGACGAATTTGGTAGTCTGCCACCTGCATCTATTAGCTTGTCACAATTCAACTGTTTTTCTAACCATTTTGGGATATGCTCTCCCACCCTCACGTGCAAAGCGCGATTACTCCTCCCTATGTATGTATGTCCACACACACACGAAAATTGGTAAATTGTATGGGATGTGATATAATCACTTGCACTTTTGGGGTTTACAGTGAAGCATATTTTTAGCTTTTCCCACAATTACAAGCTGGGCTGCATAGTAGGTTCTACGGATGATTGAATTCAATCTTTGTCTCACAATCCTACTGTTTATTTCCCCGTTATATGGTAATTTGATAAAAACCTTTTCTTAGGGACGGTATGGATTGTAGGTTTAGAGGCTAGTTGACTTCTACACCTGTTTAAAAATTTCAAAGGATATCCGTTTTCAAAATGAGTATCCATTAATATTTCGTTTTCTCTGTCCATAACATCAGCCGTGCAGATACGCTGAATCCTCTTGAATAGACACTTTATCAAGCCCCTCTTATACTGTTGCAGGTGTCAGACTACCAACTTCGTCTATAGCTTAACATCTAATCGAGATGAACCATAAGATTGATGTTAACTCAGCCTTTAAGGTCATCTCTAAAAACGGTCAAGGGCGTTTACTGAAATACGCTGAGGTTATGGCTATTCATAGACTTAAGCCCCCCTTGTGTATTCAAAAACAGTTTGTCATTACTCTTAGCCTACCTTGGTACTTTATGTCAAATTTGTTATTTATCTTTTTTATTTAACTTTCTATATGTATTGACTTGACAAGTAAATGTGTGATCAGATTGTTCGAAATGTATAGCGCTAATACATCACATTTTTCAGATAGTCTCCATCTTCTAATAACGCTATCAAAATTTATAAAAGCGACTAATTGTTTTAAATTGTTGACTAACATTAATAACTGTTTTTTTTTACAACGCGTCACCAAAACCCTTCACCAATCCTCACCATCCCCAAACCCCCCGTAGTTGCAATTTGATTACTCATCACATTTTTGAAATGTCTTGACAGTAACAACCCAAACTTATTTTTATTCTTATCAGACAAACCTACTGTACACACAAACTTACAAAAATTAGTATATATATATTGCACTTGTACACGTCAGTGAATGAATTCACCGGAGAGAGACTCTTCGGTGAAATATGTGTTTTGTTTTCATAAATATGAGAGCAATTATTTGTCACCATTAACGTTCATCAAGGTTGTTAAATGATACACTGCATATCTTTAGGTTATGGATCAATGCCACTTAAATCAAACTGTCTTATCAATAGGTGTTTTATATTTGGTGTGTCTAATTGGTAAAGATCCAAGTTACTGAGTTTTTGATAATATCTCTGCTAACTAGGATCCGAAGAATCTACAGCCCTGAATCAATAGATGACGAGATCACTCTTTTCAGGAAGATGCCCAAAAAATAGCTACCCTCACGCTTTACAGATAAATACATAAAACCCAAAACCAACAAAGAACACCCCATCTCCGTTTCGAAGAAGATGCTATACATGAATGTGGCGTTCAAAGGCGACTGTCTGAGTAACAATGTAAAGAAGAGAATGTCAAAATCCCTGAAAAGAACATTCATTGCTGCTACACTCCAACTGGTATTCATCCTGCTGCCGCCCAATGTTCTTCAACAACTCTAATGATTAGCTATTGCATTTGATCGCTTCTGTGTCTATCAATTCATTTGTTCATGTGCGGGTTGTTCAATGTATGTTTTATCTAAAAGAGTCGAAGAACATTGTTGCCCTTGGCTACTAAAAGGTCACAATTGATCGATAAAGAGTGTTATAATTGAACATATATTTAAACATTGGTCACTCAATATCCAAAGAGAATTTTTTCAAAGTTGTCTACAAAGTCGAAAGAAGGTTCCCGAAAACGGTAAGCTTTCCTATACTTTTCATTACCGAGGGCGTAGAATTTCGGGTGGAAAACCCTGATTTATGTACGCCGGAGAAACTTCTAAATCCCGTTCTTCTCCCTTGGGCATAATTCCAACTTCAGCTGTAATCACTATTTTGTGCACTTTTCTTATGACATTTAGTATCATCATTTTCCTTAACTAACGTTATGCTTACCCTTTTCGCCTACTAAATTTATTTTGAGACTTAACTCCACGTTCTTTCGTTGATATCCAATTTTTTTGGAACATTTTCATATTACGTTACCTTAATCTAGGCTTACCAATCTTCACTTCCAAGCCCGAGTTACAATTTTGAATTATTCACCATATTTTTGATATACTTTGATGACATTGTGGTAAGAGCTGTCTGCTAGCCAAAATTGGTAGACAGCAATTTACGTCAATGTTTACTTCCCAAATCCTGGTCATGAGAAAAACAAAAACAAAGACTGCGTGGGAGGATACGATCCTCCAGAGATATGGTCTGACCTTCAAAGAAACGGCCACAAAGAGATGACAGAATAACTTCCAGTGAGAAAATGACCAATCAGAAGACTCTGTTTCTCTGCTGCTAATAACGAAAAATAATGTACATCAAAATCTATAAATATTTGTTGATTTTCTTAATAAACGATCTGTTGCCAGGCCCTTGTCTTCTGTCTTTACAACATGAGCAGTAACTCAAACTGATTTTTATCCTTGTTAGATAAAACTAATGTACACAACTGCAAAAATAATCATATATTATTCGGATTGTACAGTTAAGTGGATGAATTCGTCGAAAATAGACTCTTCGCTGAACAGTTTGTCTGTATTTTCAGGTCTGAATAGGTATTTTTTCGTAATGAGAACAAGCAGAATAGAATTTTGGTGAACTTTTCAAGTGTTGCTCTATAGAGATTTGATGGATGTCAGGTTAGGTCACGAAACGACATCAGTTAGAGAACTGTTGAAAATCACGGAATATTGGTCCACCATTTTGTCCCAGTCTGGGACTCTTCAGAAGAGTGCATGTATGGTACGTCTCCGTTGGGAATCCAATTTGAGTTTTTCAGATTACGATGCGAGCATGTTGATCAATCAGCGACTGGGACAGAATCCAACAGCCTATGAATTCTAATCCTCGTTAAGATCTTTGAAGCGTGCTGCCTAAGAGTATCGAGCTAGTACGAAGCAGCTGTTCAGTACCTCCTGATTTTCAATGATTCTCTAACTGATGTCACTTCGGGATCTAGCTTTAAGTGTAAAGGACAATAAAAGTGACAATGAAGTAATTATTATATTTAATTTTAAATTATTTATACTAATTTCTCTTTTCGTATTTTGTACAAATATATTTAAAAAAGGCAAATGTATTACAGCAAATGGTAAATGTCTACTCTTATCAAATGTTGTTAAGTCAACTTACCAAGAGAAGATTACGTGTGCATGGTATGTGGTTCGCTTTACACTCAGGTGATATACACTTATACAGTCGATTGAATAAAGCCTTTCTACCAGTTAATCAAGAGACAATATCCATGCTTACTAAAGAAGTGAACTAGTTTACACAAATTTGATCATAATTCATTGCTTATTCTATTGCATATTATTAACTGCTTCAAATGAATTCTCAGCTGAATTCAGATTTTAACTGGATGACGTTTCATAATCATGCTAGACAGATCTTCGTTCACATTCTGAATTAACAGAAATATCTGCAACTTCTCTAACAATAACAATAATAATTTCTTTTTAATTTTTACTTTATTTTATCTCAATTACTTATTTTATTCAACTGCAAATTATTCCTCTAGATTCTGTGTTCGCTAATTAATATACATTTAATATACAGCTTTATTATATTTATTTCATCACTTTGAAGTCTGTAAGCTCAGGTAATATTTTTTCCTAGTCAGCTGACGTTTCGATGTCATTTGAGACAGTACTGTCAATGCTGTTTTATCCTAATACACTGAATTTTCACAGTTATATTCAATTTGGTCATGTGATATATATATTTATATTGACCAATTAATTAACTCAGGGCATATATTATTATTTCCACTTTTTGTTTATTATACTTTTTATTTTTTATTTTCAAGATCTCCATTGAAATCTTTCGTTTTTGTATTATTTAAGTCAACTGGCTCGACTTCCTATTGAACTTTAATTACCGTTTTTATTTAGAAATATTTATTTTTACTACTCAAAACTAACTATTATGCAATCTAGTCAATAAAGTTTTGTATTGTTTTCAACATTCTGCGGTTATCGTGCTTTCCTGTAAAACGTTTTTGTTGTCTCCTGCTGCTGTCCCTAATTCCCTCGTATCACGTCGTGATATGCAGCATTATGTGATTTATTACTGAGTTCCATTAACCATTATTATTATTATTATATTATACCCCAATATACATTTTGTTGAAACGACGTCGATGACTCCTGACTTTTGGTTTTTGATTATCCAAAGTGTAGCCTAGATTGTATCTTATAGATTTAATGATTGTAGACTGTAATGACTGTAGACCGCAACGATGCGAATATGTTCACGCCATACCATCGTACAAATTCTGGGATTCCTCAATAATCTTCCTCCCTTATACCTTTGTCGATTATAGTTTCATTGTGTATTTCTTCTACATTTATTAGTACGTCTGTGGAATGTGACAACTCCAAGTCATGCAGTGTTCTGTGTTGATGAGTCAGTCAGTAGATTGATTTCCTACTTTTCTTCTGTTTAACTTCATCATACTGAATTGCCTCCCCACAGTATTACCTTTTTTTTGCTTTTTGACTTAACCTAGAGCAGCAGTCTCTTGTGAGTTAAATGTTTCTCTTCAAATTCTGGTGTGGCTTACTCATAAATTAATCAACTTCATCAGTATCCTAGCATCAAAATAAATTTTATGCTCAGTAATCTCAATGCTTCACATGAAGTGACTTTTTCAGTTTGACAAGATGAATAACTTGGAACTAAAGGACTTGGACATGAGGTTGATAAATAGTCTTTTAGTGTTTGAAATGGTTAGTGAAGTGCTTCTGCTAAAGAGATAGAATATACATTTATAATTTCGACTTACATAGTGTACTAAAATATCGTCATAATAAACATATGGAAGGATTGAACAGGCAATCACTATTTCCTTGCAGTTTTGAGTCGTATGAATTAAAGAAACGAGAGTTGTATTGATTGCCTTGGTTATACTGAACACATCTAAAATGATTGACTCCTAATTTGTGAAGATTAGGAATGCCATCGCGATCAGTTCTCAACAATCAACTTGTTCTAAAAGAATGGTGTCAGTTATGATCGCTGAGTGTGAAAGTGAATGTGGCGGATTATAATTGTAGAGGAAACATGAGTTACCATGGGGCTGTTATTAGATCGTACTGATGAATACCAGGAAGCACGGAAACTAAAGGTAGAACTTCCTTCTAGCCTTATTATTTTACATTATTTAGATTACTTAATATCCAGAGACTATTTTGTATAAGTAACCATTCTATTCGACGAATCCAAACGTCCACTTGATTTATGAAAACACGTATTGTTTAGTATAGCTTTTCCTTGACTTGTGTCTTGCAAAGTAGTATTGTACTAATAGAACTTTTGATATTCCTCCATACCAGCGTTTGAATTAAAATATAATATAAAGCTGATATCACTGCAGAAGAAATTAAAAGTCCTCTGTTAAAGTGTATCAAACTTGCTTTTTCCAGGTGCAGTATGATTCGACAATGTGTGGGGCATAATTCACTGCTTATATTTACCCCCAATAAGCATCTATTGTCTCACATGCTTCCGTGGAGCTGATTACATTGGACACTGTTAGTGTGTTCTTTGGAAACGTACAACTGAACACTTCCTTCTTTGGTTGATGAAGCGCGAAAACAAGATGATGAAGTCTTCTATTTATGAATACCTTCTTGAGTTAGAGCCACTCAGCTCCATACAATTTATCCTTTAAATTTATCTACAGGGCGGACTCCAGCCACGCTGAGAGCAAACATTCTCTCCACTTGTGTGTAACAGAAGCTCTGGCTACAAATTAGGAGAAACCTCAAACATGTGTTCAAAAACTTTTTTTAGACAACTATTTCCACCTTGATCATTATAATGTTCACTTTTTAGTTAGTTTAATTCTATTTCACTTCATCTTCGTCTTCATTAGTGTTATCCTTTACACCAGTTGACCTACTTTTAACCCCCTTAAAACCAATTTACTCATTTAATAATCTTTTAAAATACATAATTCATCCATATCAAATCTACTTTCTTAAAAACTTAATCTTAAAAATCATGTGAATTATCTTTACTTTTGTTATATACATATCGAGTGGGTAATTTTCACTGACAGTTAATACCTTCTATCTGCCCATTTTGGCTGATTTCTTTCTAAGTAGACTAGAAAATGAACCCTTGAACAACCTTATCAGTAAGCTCTCATTTTATTACCGGTTTATGGATGACACCTTCGTTCTTTGTGATAATGTTTCGGATAAGAGTACAATAATTACTGAATTCAGTGAAGTACATTCGGCTATGAAATTCACATGCTAAGAGGAATCCCAAGACAGAATTGCCTTCTTGGATGTCCTCCTTACAAGAAAACCAGATGGTAGCATAAAAAGAAATTTTGCATAGAAAAAGTAATTGAACAGGACAATATACACATTTTCACAGCTTCGTTCCAATCAAGTACTAAAGAAATTTAGTGTAGACCCTTACACACAGAGTTAGAGCTATATGCTCAAAAGAAGTAACCGAAGATGAATTAAGCATTGTACATGACACTTTAATCGAAAATAGATATCCTGAAAAATTTATCAAGAAAAACATGATAAATAAAGCGGAAAAGGACTACTCACCATCTGTAAACAAGAAGCCACTTTACATACGACTGCAATTCAAGGGCGATACAACAAGTGAGATAATTACGAAGAAATTAAGAAAATCAGTTCAAAGAACTTTGAATGCTGGCGAACTACACGTCTTATTCTCTACACGACCGAAGGTGATTCCTCGACTGAAAGATGAAGTACCTAGAATAGCTAGCCACTTCAAATTGTATCTACCAATTCAACTGCGCTTGTGGAGCGAGTTGCATTGGCCGTCGCTCTAGAAACTTGACTCTTCGTGCTCGTTTTAGAACATCTCCCACTATGGCTAAGTAAACGTGTAGTGAAAACCATCAACAGTTCGATATTAGACCATCTGATACAAACCAGCCACAAAGCTAGCCATCGTGGAAGAATCCTTGTCTATAATCTACCAGGTGCCTAATAAATTGCCAAAATCACCGAATCACCCCATGCTTCAAACAACAGAGGTTATTGCAATTCATCTCAAACAACCAGTGCTCTGTGTTCAAAAGAAGCAAGTCCATCCCCTACTACTGCTCTGGCCAGCCTTCAGCAGAAACTATAAACTCATGAATTTGTAATATTATCTTTCCTAATTTTTCTGACATTCATTTTTTTTATGTTGATGCTATTGAGCTGTAATCTATTCATATTATTATTGATTCGATGTTATTTAAACAACAATAATGTTGTTCATAACACCAATTCATTCATTCACTAAAGGGTGTATATATAACTGTAGAGCCTGATGAAGGGATTATCGATAAGAGTACTCTTTGTTCAGTATCCAGTCTTTTGAAAAATTTTAATGGGCATTTTTAATCAGTTTAAATATAAGTTAATGAATGGAAAGTACGAAGTTGGTTCAACAACTAACTATGGTTAATCGTTCTACAACAGATAAATCTCTTGACTAAGTAGCCTATTGTATAGTGCTTTCCAGTGTTATTGGAAACACTATCACTCACTGGACAATCAGATATACCCAGTTAATGAATCTCAGGGTGGAATGAAATGAATATCGTGCGTGGTTAGCACTGATAGCCATCATCAATCAAATAACCATATACTTCGCTTTTGAGTTTATGCATGAGTAGTAAGAAATAAACTGCGAAATATGCTACGTAGTTAATAATGCTAATCAACATATAAAACAAGATGAATAGAGTAATGAGTGAGTTCTGATTAGAATGCATATAGAAACAAAGGAAAATATGGAATTACCTAAGAGTTCTAAAATTACAAATGTTATAAGGAATTGAAAAAAAACAAGCACACACATCAAGTCAGTTAAAGTCAACATGGTTGTTACCACGATACTTTCTTTTGTATGCATAACTCGGGTTTCGCCAAATGAATGACTAAGGCTTCAGCAATACAAAGGAGACGAAGGCGTATTGCCTTTGCTACGTTGTTTTTCACTTTGTAGATCACTTTCTAGGTGGCGTTTGGTGAAACGGAATGACCAGGGTTGACGAGATGTTCGGTTATTGCACTCCTTATACAGCCACTATCACCTTTTTGTAGCCACGTGGGATAGTGTTTGTGAGTCCATTTAGATAGGATATGTGTCAAACGACCAATGAACCTGGCTCCACAGCAACAGGTGAAATGATATTTCCACGCAGATTTGGCCAGATGCAAGATCTTGTCATTAAGACTTCTGCAGATCGATGGATGACTGGAGAGCACTACTCTT